AACTGCCATGTGATTGGTTGATTAGATAATTGCATTAATGAGAAATTGAACAGGTGTTCCTAATAATCCTTTAGGTGAGTGTATATATTTATATATTAACCACCTCATCTCTCGAAGTCTGGCACCAACCACCAAAGCAAATTCCATGTATGTGTGAACGTACTTGGCAATAAACTCGATTCTGATTCTGATTCTGTGATTGATGCACCTCTGTTTCTAGCAAGGAGTTCTTTTTAATGTATAACAAACTGTACTGTACTGTAACAAATTGTGGGTATCTGTGAAGCAGGTTTTTGGTACATTATATACTTTGCTAAATAAGTTATATGGGAGGCAGGTTTCACTTGATGAAAAGGAACACTGATTTGGATGTTTACCTTTGCAACCTGAAGAAGGATGTTTGTGCAAATGCCTGATTCTTTCATAGTACAAAAGGACCTGAAATTCATACTGTTAACAATACAGCATGATGGCTTATGATCTTGAACACATTTTTCACGTTTACATGTTTTATATGTTTCATGTCATTTAAACAAACACATAATAAATACCTCCAGAAACCTGTGCTGATGGTTGGATGGATTTGAAAAAATACATGGCAGAATGGATCTGTCTTCCTTTGTTTTTTACTGTAAACATACTTTTTGCTGCTTTAGATCATGATTAGATCAAATTAGAGAACAATGAAGTCTATTAGGAAACATAATGGCTGATGTTCAAAGAACAAAGTCTGTGTGACATATTTGTTGCTGATAAATTAGCAGAGTGCTGTATTTTCTATACCTTACATTGTTGCTCATGTGTTCCTCTTTGGCCCCGACAGCAGCTGAAGCCGCATACTTCTCACAGCAACCTCAGGACCAGGTCGTGGTGTCTGGCCAGTCAGTGACACTGCCCTGCATCATCGTTGGATACCGTGGCATGGTGCAGTGGACCAAAGATGGCCTGGCTCTCGGGGGAGAGAGGGACCTGCCAGGTGAGGCTTCTGATTGCAGGCGACATGATTTGTCAGAGTACACTGGGGACTGTCTGCGGCTGAATTGACTTTGCTGAATAGTGTTACGAAGAGACAGTGAAAATGTCCCACTAAATCACCACAGAATAAATTATGAGCTTTCAGAGGCCAGCTAACACCTGCATTCCCTGACTACTCCCATGCTCATCATCCTAGTGCTATTCTAAACCATGTTGCTTGCTTACTGGTGAGGAAGTCCCGTTAATGCAGTGAGAGCGCTGATACACCGTGCCTCATTCCCGGCACCCTCTAGGGGCAGTCCTGCGTCCTGCTCGTTTGTTTCGTTCCTGACGGTGCTTCCTCCCCTGGCTTCACACAGGCTGGACACGCTATTCTCTGATGGGCGATGCACTCTCGGGGGAGCACAGCCTGCAGATAGACTCCACCGAGCTTGCCGACGATGCCATGTACGAGTGTCAGGCCACGCAGGCGGCGCTGCGCTCTCATCGTGCCAAACTCACTGTGCTAGGTAGGTAGCGCTCTCTGAATGCTGATGACGAGATTCCCATGATGAGATTCCCATGACAGGGTACCACCTTTGTGCAGTTCTTAGAAAAGATACAGAAGCGGGTTTCCTAGCATGGTGTGGTCTTTTAATGCGAAAATCTGCAACTTTCCATTCATTTATTTATTCATTCTTGTTACATTTTAATTATACTATTAGCATATTTATTTCTCTGATAGATGTCCTGAGATGTTATTCTTGCCCTGACAGTAGTTCTGTATTCTATCAGGCAGAAAAAAGTCTTTTTGAAATATCCCATAAACATGACTGTGAAGGTCCAGGGTAGTGTGTTTACCATATTCACCATTGACTTGCCTAGATGCTAAAACGTCAAGCTTTGCACAGTTAGCACATTTTACAGTGAGTCACCCAGTATGTCAGCTGCAGGCAGCTTTTACATTAACACAATATGAGTGATTGGTGAAACCACGGGGCCCTCTGTCTCCAGGTCACTGGAGAGAGGGAAGACTGATGGAACGCTGGTGGCACCTGGTGGTTGCCCTAGGCATAGCAAGAATGGATTTTTTTGGTGGCATCATTATTCATTGATGGCAAAGAACAAAGAACATTGGAAACTGTTGTTTTAGGTTGCTGTGCTATGAACTGAGCTGTGAGAAAGGGTGGTAATAAAAAGGTCAAATAAATAAAAGGAAAGTCATGTTCAGGATTGTTTTCTTAATAATGAGCAACACAGCTCATCACTAGGAGTATGCATTTCTCCAGTCAGCACTCACAAACCAACCCAGCAAACAGAGTTCCTGTCCAAGCTGGGCTGAGAGTGAAGCCCCAGAGGACAGTGAGGTCCTGGCCTCTTTTTCCTCTCTACCTGAGACATCCATGAGACAGATGAATAAATCAAGCTGAGCTCAGAGGACCAAAGCAATGTGTAGAGAGATCGATGCACTGGATGAGACCCAAGCAATCTGATGCAACCATTCAGCACTGGGGACGCAGTCAAGTGAATCCGTGAGGAAATTAAAATGGCCAACCACATACTAACCCAGCAGCACCGTGGGAAGACCTCTAAAATCGACGGGAGGGGGGGCGGGGGGAGCCTCAGTTGTTTATGTGCTGGCATTTTGTCTTGAGAGACAGATGCCTAGATTGGAGATGTATTTGGCTACCTGCCCTATTTGCAGGCACAGAAGTGAAATAAATATACAAATCTACAGGTAATATGAGTCACTGGAGAGTAAAGCCCGCAGAGTGCAGCCTGAAAATGTATAAAGGGCACAATTTAATTAGATAATCATCTCAGCTATTTTTAAACAAGCATTGACTTTAACATGGTCTGTCTCCTATTTAGGAACTTGAATGGTAGTTGATCTAAAGCTTTTATTTTTTTTTATTTCTCTGTAGCCAGACACACATGACACATTGTGGAAGTGAAACCACAGGACAGTATGATGACTTGGCTATACGGCTCTTGTTTGTGACTTGGATATTCATGGTTTACAGTGCCCCCATCTGACCCGGTGGTGGAGGGAGGTCCGGTCGTAAAGCTGAAAGCTCACACCCCTCACAACCTTACCTGTAGAGCTTCAGGGGCCAAACCAGCAGCAGAGATCACCTGGTACAGAGATGGAGAGATCCAGGACTCTGCCATTTACTCCAAGGTAAGTGGAAGACTGGAGTTCTGCTGTAATGGGAACTGGTTCCTTCCCTTTGATTAACTCCACCATCCTAAAAGACAAATGCTAGGAAGCACTGATTCAGATTGAATCTACAATTTCTAAGTCAGTGCAGTTTGAGAGCCATGTTTTATTACAAGACCTCTCAAAAACAGCAGTATAGCTATACTTCACTCTCTGTAGTCCACTATCCCCAGCTCGGTTCTCTAATGCACCAACATCTCGGCATAACTGGAGCATGGCGAAGCTCAGGCAGGCATGAACATTGATACAGTAGAATTGCTGGGAGGAGGGGGGTGGGGGTGGTGGGCAGCGGTGAAATCACCCACAACAATGCAGAGGCACAATGAGGATGTGGCGAGGTGTGAAACATCCATATCCAGGAAAAGTGCCACATTTGTCATGCTCCCTGACCACGCTAAACGATACTAAATGACACGTTTAGAGGGTGAAAGCCAGGGGTGGATGAGGGGGGTGAGGGTGGGGGGGGGCGCAAATGTCTATGTGAGGTACCTTGTGTTTTTTTGTCCTGAATGTGGAACCAAATGGCCAATCTAGATGGGTGGGGAGTGAGCTCAGGATTACTCATCACATTATTAAGTTAAGTAGCACCTTGCTGTTAGCACTGACGTAATTTTGAGATACTTGCTGCTATTATTGGTCCGAGTCAGTGCTGAATTTTGCCTCCACCTGCAATATCCTTCAAAGTGCGTATTTTCTTACTTAACAGTATTGATTTTTGCTAGCAACAAATTGACATCTGTGGCCTAAAAAACCTGGGAGAACAAAGAAGTGCTGTTTACCTCTGGATGCTAGCAAGCTGAGCAATAACGGACAAATAAATCAATGTGGTGTTATTCCAGGCCATCTTATTTAAATAAATGAACTAACCAACTGAGTAAGCTGACACATGCATGCGTGATGTGCTTAATTTAGGGAACGTAAGATTTCATACTGACACCATTTCATGAGGGTTTAAAGAATTCGTATGTGCCTGACGAAGGATGCAGTACCAAGAGTTTTGCTAAATTTGACAACGTGTTTTCTCCGCAATGGCAGACGCTCATGGAGGACGGCAAACGGGAGGTAGCGGTGAGCATGCTCCCACTTACCCCCGAAGACAAAGACTCGGGGAGCATTTATACTTGCAGGGTGCTGAACCCTGCCGCCCCAGGTGGGCGGCAGACCTCGGTCACCATCAGTGTGCAGCGTGAGTATAAGTCACGCTCCCAGCCCTCCAGAAGCCAGCCACATCAGGCTCAGTCTCTGCTTAGTCTACGCCAGAAAAGGAAAGTCCAGGTTCAGAAAGTACAAATCCAGACCAAGATTTTTATTTCAACTAATTGGTTGAAACAAAATCTCGGTCTGGATTTGTGCTTTGTAAACCCGAACTTTCCACATATGGTCTACACATGGAATGTTCATTCCCTGAATTGGAGTCTGAATTTTAATTTAGGAAAGTGAAGATCAATGCCTGCATAGGCACTTTTGATTAGTGGCCTGAGTACATTACGCATTAAAAATAAATTGTTTGTAATAAGAGCAGCTGTGGATATGGATAGTATAAAATGTGTGATTAGAAAGGTTTTGTTTAATGGACTAATATTGTTGCAGACCCACCTTCAGTGACTCTGTCTGCTCAGCCACAAACAGTGATGGAGGGAGCCAAGGTCCTCTTTATTTGCATGGCCTCTGCCAACCCAGAGATCACAGGTTACAGGTGACTGTTGTACTGCTTATTCTCATATTGGGTAACAGTATGTTAAGTGCAGCTTCATAATGCCTTTATAATGCATTCATAGAACCTTCCTAGGTAGCATGTAAGAATACCTTAAGATTCAGTAGAGGACTTTAATGCCTAAATTGATTATACAATTATAATGTTTATTATTGATGTATATTAAAGCTGTCATCTCTTGTTCAACGAAAGTATAATGAATGCAATGCTTTACGACATGTTAATGTATACTTACATTCTGCTTATGAGTGCTCTATGAATGCATCATGAATATGGTTTTGCACCAATAAATGCTGATGTTTGACGTTGCATGTTGCAGTATGGTTTAATGATGTCATTCACATTATTGTGAACTGATGTACCCCAACCAGGTGGTCAAAGGGTGGCGTTCCCATACCTGAAGCCAACAGAGACAGGCTGGAGGTGACAGTGGATTACTCCTACTTCACAGACCCAGTATCCTGTGAGGTGTCCAATTCTGTGGGCAGCACCAATGTCAGCACACTCGTTGATGTCCAGTGTAAGTCAACAGCACACTGTTTGTGCTGTGCTGAAAGTTGGTAAAAAATGTTAATAACTTTGTATTAATAGATTTATAAAGCTGATTGATTATTTAAGGTAACATTTGTGATTCCTCTTTGCTTTTAGATCTTGAACTTTTATAGAATATTGACTAATATGCTGCAAATTTGATGTCCTTAGTTGGTCCCAGACTGCTATCCGAGCCCAAGCCTGTGGTTGTAGACATAGGAATGGATGCAGCCTTCACCTGCTCATGGACCGGCAATCCCCCCTTAACCCTGGCCTGGACCAAGCAGAGCTCCAGCGTGGTAAGATCAGCTTCTGGAATCTCAAAACAAACCTAGACAGTGCAGTAGCTCTCAGTCTTATTTAGCTGGCATATGGTTCAATCTCAATAGGTGGTTTCTGCTGAAAACTGAGAGGGTGGCTTTAATGGATGATCACACATTGCAGTATATTCTTTCTGCTTCTTTAAATGTCTTGTGTGCCCAAGGGTGTGAGGCTTAGGCTCAGAATCACTGAAACTGTGTGGTATTTGAAGCTCCAGTCTACATTTATTTTAGTTTTTCATTCGCTTACCAGATTCTGGTTTGCAGGATGCCCTGTGTGCTATTTTATCAGATTTATTTGGATGATTTAGAGTTGCATGTCAATGCCTGGGTAGGATGTAGAAGCAATTGTGTTGCATAAAGAGCAAGATGTCCCACTGTGCCCCATGGAAATTTGGCTATTTTAATCCACAGGATGCGTATTTCATTATCTAGGCGATATGGATTAATTGGGTAATTCAATAATTGGGAAGCCAAATGGATTAATCACAGCTTGAAATTTGGGGGTCAATGAGCTCACAAGTGACCGAATGTAGCTGGTCAAAAGGTTAAAAAGATTCTCATTCAGAATCTTTTGTTCTGTTCCTGCCTTTGTAGTTACAATTATTTGAAGAGCATAACCTTGCTGACAAGGCAATATGTCTTAATTGCATGATTAACTTGATTACAATAGCGTTAATTCCAATATTTTTACATTGCAAACAGTTTCCTGTTTGTCTTGGCGACAGTGCTAGTACTGGTGTGCTGAATTAGATCAGTGTTGTATTTACCTCATCTGACCCCAGGTTCTCAGCAATGGGAACACTCTGCAGCTGAAGGCTGTCACACAGGAAGATGCTGGAGTCTACACCTGCAAAGCGATTGTTCCCAGGATTGGGGTGGCTGAGAGAGAGGTCACTCTCACTGTCAATGGTAAGCGTTTGTAGCATTTGCATTTCAGTGGTGGCAAATTTTATTGGCCTCTTCGTCAATGTCAGTGAGGAACATTACATTGACACCAGCTCATCTGCAGCAAGTTATATTATATTCATCAGCTTTGTATTGGGTTTCTTTCTGAAGTTAGCATGTATGTGCTTGTCTCCCCTTAGCATCATCATCATCATCATCATCACCAGTAGCTCCCCTTCTTGCCGGAACTTAACCTGACCTTGCTTTCTTTCCTCTCCCTGTTTCCTATTACCTCATTCACCATTATATCCTATCTTCCCACCAGGCCCCCCCATCATCACTGCAGATGCCACACAGCATGCAGTCAAGAACTCCAAGGGCAAGCTAGAATGCCTGGTGGACAGTAGCCCCCCTCCTGACAAGATCGTAAGTGTACCTCCAGGGCACTTTCCATATGCACATCTACACTTGCATGCAGATCTATGCTCAAGCACTCCCCCTGTCGCTCCCTTGCTTAAACAGCTGGCCTCTAGGTCCTGTGGACTGTGACCTCGCTGTTCAGACACTAAAATGTAAAGAGACACGCTCTGGCTAACATCCCTCAGGTGCTTCAGGATGCCTCTTAATTAGTGTTCAGAATTAGGGCCTACAAGAAATGGCCAGTTTGACCTCTGAGTCAAGGCCTGCCAGGACATTATTAAGAGCTGAGCAATGAAATCAGGGCACTACACTCACGCTTAAAGGAAGGCTGTATAATAGGAAGAATTATAATTAAAAAATGGGGCGACGCAGTGACGTAGCAGATTGGCACTGTCGCCTCACATCTCTGGGACCGGGTTCGAGTTTCCACCCTGGATCCATGTGTGAAGTTTGCCTGTTCCCTCCGTGTCATTATGAGGTTTCTGTCAGGCATTCTAGTTTCCCCCCACAATCCAAACACATGCTAGCAAGGTGAACTGGAGTTAGCAAATTGTCTGTAGGTGTGATTGGTGAGTGTGTCCTGAGATGGGTCATGAGTCCAGACCCCTCATGACCCTGAACAGAACATGCATGTACAGAAAATGGATGGATATTTCTAAAAACATGTGAATTAAAAAATTGCTTTCCTCATATGAGGAAATTGTGTATTAGGGAAACTGCGGAATGTAGTTGTGGTCAAAGTTTCATTTTATCTATATACATTGCTCAAAAAAATTAAAGGAACACTTTGGAAACACATCAGATCTCAATGGGAAAAAAAGTCATGCTAGATATCTATACTGATATGGACTGGGTAATGTGTTAGGAACAAAAAAATGCCACATCGTTTAATGGAAATTAAAATTACAAACCTACAGAGGGCTGAATTAAAAGACACCCCAAAAATCTAAGTCAAAAAATGATGCAGCAGGCTAGTCCTTTTTGCTGAAAATTCATTACAGCAACTCAAAATCGTACTCAGTAGTTTGTATGGCCCCCACGTGCTTGTATGCATGCCTAACAATGTCAGGGCATCCTCCTAATGAGATGATGGATGGTGTCCTGGGGGATCTCCTCCCAGATCTGGACCAGGGCATCACTGAGCTCCTGGACAGTCTGACGTGCAACCTGGTGGCGTTGGATGGACCGAAACATAATGTCCCAGAGGTGTTCTATTGGATTTAGGTCATGCAAACGTGGGGGCCCGTCAATGGTATCAATTCCTTCATGTTCCAGGAACTGCCTGCATACTCTCGCCACATGAGGCTGGGCATTGTCGTGCACAAGGAGGAACCCAGGACCCACTGCACCAGCATAAGTTCTGACAATGGGTCCAAGGATTTCATCCTGATACCTAATGGCAGTCAAGGTGCCGTTGTCTAGCCTGTAGGGGTCTGTGTGTCCCTCCATGGATATGCCTCCCCAGACCATCACTGACTCCCCGCCAAACCGGTCATGCTGAACAACGTTACAGGCAGCATAATGTTTTCCACAGCTTCTCCAGACCTTTTCACTTCTGTCACATGTGCTCAGGGTGAACCTGCTGTCATCTGTGAAAGGCACAGGGTGCCAGTGACAGACCTGCCAAATCTGGTATTCTATGGCAAATGCCAATCGAGCTCCACGGTGCCGGGCAGTGAGCACAGTGCCCACTAGAGGATGTCAGGCCCTCAGGCCACCCTCATGAAGTCTGTTTCTGATTGTTTGGTCAGAGACATGCACACCAGTGGCCTGCTGGAGGTCATTTTGTAGGGCTCTGGCAGTGTTCATCCTGTTCCTCCTTGCACAAAGGAGCAGATACCAATCCTGCTGATGGGTTAAGGACCTTCTATGGCCCTGTCCATCTCTCCTAGAGTAACTGCCTGTCTCATGGAATCTTCTCCATGCCCTTGAGACTGTGCTGGGAGACACAGCAAAACTTTTGGCAATGACACATCAATATGTGCAACCTCTGTAGGGTCCAGGTATCGCCTGATGCTACCAGTAGTGACACTGACCGTAGCCAAATGCAATACTAGTGAAAAAACAGTCAGAAGAGATTAGGACGAAAAAATGTCAGTGGCCTCCACCTGTTAAACCATTCCTGTTTTGGGGGTCATCTCATTGTTGCCCCTCTAGTACACCTGTTGTTAATTTCATTAACACCAAAGCAGCTGAAACTGATTAACAACCCCCTCTGCTACTTAACTGACCAGATGAATATCCAAGAAGTTTAGTTTACTTGATGCTATACTCTGATTAATAAGTGTTCCTTTAATTTTTTTGAGCAGTGTATATTATGCAATACGCAGTTAAACCTTTTCTGAGACACACGTGCTTCTCTCTTTATTTTCAGGTGTGGACCTTCGGGGACATGAGCCTGGCCTCTGGTTCTTCGGGACGCTTCACTGTCCAGACAGGCGCCACAGATAGAGGAGTCCTGTCTTCCCTCATCCTCTCGGAGACCCTTGCACAAGACTTCCAGCTACGTTATAATTGCACTGCCTGGAACCACTTTGGAACAGGCACTGCATTGGTCACCCTCAAGGAGCAAGGTAGGGGCTCTTCTATTAAACTGTTTAACTACCATCAGCATACCTGTGTAATTTCACAGCTTTAATAACTTAAATTGAGTTTAGATCGATGTGTATGTAATCTGAAACATTATCATACCTACAGTGTTGGAGTTTGAAACTTGCTTCTGCTCTGTATGTGTGGAGTTTGCATGGTTTTCTGCCAGGAGCTGTGTTTTCCACACACATTCCAAAGACATGGAGCTAATTGTCGGTACAGTGTCCTGTGATGCACTAGGTGTGCTCCATTCCTGGTCTGCCTAGAAAAGTGTTTCTCAAACCAGTCCTCAGGGACCCCCAGCGGTCCACGTTTTTACTCCCTCCCAATTCCCAAGGAACCATCTGGGGGTCCCCGGGGATTTGTTTGGGAAACACCGGCATAGACCAGGAGAAGTGGCTAGGAGATGGATGCTGGCTTTGATGAGAAAAGTGTCATTACATGAATTTAGAATATTAGGATGTTTCAAGAGGCAAAAGGGCGCATTTCTTTCAAGCCCTATTGCAATTTTTCTCAATAATTCCTAAATAAGGATAACAGAATCACATCTTTTGTTGTATGATACAATAGAAATAGAGCTGTCACTTAGCAAATTGTGTCCGTTTATTGGTGTTTTCTCAGGAGAGTTGCAGTGTGGAATCACCTAGCATCTCTAATCAGGTTGCTGCCTATTGCCTCATCATGCATTGTTGCCCTTTCCCATAAGAAATTATAGACAATTTCAGGCCTGGAACAAGAAAATAGGTTTCTATTCAATTTAATTCATGCTTACAAAGGCAATAAATACTACTTGCTAAAAGAATTACAGTATGATGTGCACCTGCACTAACCTCTGGCCTTTTGCTCCTTCTTAACAGAGGCTCTCCCTATACTCATCATTGTGGGGACTTCAGTCGGGGGAGGCTGTGTCCTCCTCATCTGTATCATCACCCTGGTCACCCTCTGTTGCAGAAACTCTGTAAAAAGTAAGGTGAAACTCCACTAAGGAATGTTTATGTGATTAGGACTCAATATTTGGTTAAATCATGTTTGGAGCTTTTAAGAGTTTAGGGTGAGGGTTTTAGGTGACATTCTGTTTAGATTATTCAGTTATCATTTATGCCTGCTTCAAATAACCACTAAAGAATCACTTTTTCTCAAGGTAAAAAGGGAACAAGGCTCTCTAAAAGTGACATCAGAGTCCAAATTGTGCACAGTGATCACAATGCAACACGGAGCAACGATGATGAGGAAGATGTCAAGGAACCTATGGTACAGTGTCTTATCTCTGTTTATAAAAATCTTTCAGAACATTAGTACTTAAATTACTTGATATTTTTACGAAAGCTTGATGGGGAGAATTAGCAGCTCACAGCTTGTTACAGTTTTAAGTAGGTCTAATTGTTGATTTTGGATAATATATTTAAACCTTCAGGCCCCAAACAGCAGTGAATCTCCAGGTACATCTCGAACAGAACACAGCGACCTTCTAGAAGAGGAGGAGGATGAGCGATCTGAGATCAAGGTAAAGCAGAAATGGAAAACTTAAGATGACACTTGCATGTTTTTGTTCTCTTGCATGCTTGCCTCTAAATTGGGTGGAGCCTAATCTGGTCTCTCTGTTTAGGATCCCACCAATGGCTATTACAATGTTCGGGCTCATGAAGATCGCCATGTACGCAGTGGTTTTTCTGAATATGTGTCCAATCCACGGCCTGTCTATACTCCATCCCAGCTGGCCTCACCTAACCCGCTGTATGGGCAACACAGCACCCAGCCACGGATCTATGATTTCTCCCATCGCTATGCCACCACCACGGGTGCACGCTCTACCTATGAGCAGCAGCAGCAGCAGCAGCAGCAGCAACAGCAGCAGCAGCAACAGCAGCAGCAGCAACAGCAGCAGCAGCAACAGCAGCAGCAGGGAATGTACCCCCCCGAGCCCCTGTATGGCAGCTCTGCTTACCTGCCTGCCACATACGGCCGTGCCTTTACGAGCTACGTCAAGCCCTCTGCCTATGAGAAGGTGGATGCCTACGATCACTCGGATCAAGCCAGCAAAGTGTCCAGCTCCTCGCGTTTCTCCTATGCTTCCTCCCAGGTGTCTTCACAGCTGTCTGACTATGGCCGCCCCTCACACCAGCGCATGCAGACACACGTTTGACAAGCCGGGGATGCTGCAAGGGATAATAAGTGATCTATTCAAGCATCTTCTCTATAGGCTACACGGACACTGCTTCTCTTTCCCGTGGAATAGGTCTTGAAGAGGACCATTGGCTGAAGATTTAAGTTTTTTGGGAATACTGTTTTTAATTTATTGTGTGTTATTGTTCAATTGGATCTGTATCTTCTTATCCTCTGGATGAATTGGAGCTTCTGATGATGAATTCCCTTCAAGTGTGCTTCACTATTTATTTTTTTTAAGGATGACAAAGGCAAAGACACAATAGTTTCATTGATGCCATCTGCTTAACTGTTTATGATTTATATTGTGTATGGGATGGTGTAAATTAGAAATCTCCTCTTACCAAATGCCCCATGGCTTTGGGGTGAAAACGGGATTCAAATATTTGCATCTTGTGAACTTAAATTTTTTTTTAAAAAGAAAACTCATGAATTTTTGTTTACATCAGCATGCAAAAGAATTCTAAGCACATTCACATTTCAATCCATTATAAAAGACTGAGCCAAACCATGAGGTTCAACTTCAAACTGTGAAACAGGCATAAAAGTACAGCCAAGCATCATTCACATATTTTCTGGATGATGAATTCTGTAGTTTTCCTAAAAAGATATTTTATGCTTTTAAGATTATTTCAGACAATAGTTCTGGCCTGATGGATCAGTGCAGACAATTGAAAATAATGGATTTCAAATAACGGAAAAAAGCTGATAGCATTAGGTTACAGCTACGAAAGATGAAAGATAGTCTGTATTAATCATTTTTGCTTCAACGGGGGATGAGTGACAATGAATATCCAAAGATTGTGGGATATGCGCAGGTGGAAATGGCTGCCTTGCTCTATCATTTCTGTGCGATTACAGTGTACATCCTAGGCTCACTTTAAAAATTATGAGCATCACCGTTCAGTAATGTAGCTTATTTTCAGTTTAAGGCTGTGTTCTTGTACAGAGAAGGCTTTGAAACTTGGTTGCAATTTAGCCAAACTTTTTGATCATGAAGCTTGATTACCAATGGGAAACAGTCACATAAGTATCCATCCATCCATCTTCCTTTTTTTTTTTTTTTCCATCCATCTTCCAACTGCTTATCCTGGTGAGGGTTGCGGGACATGAGTATGTAGGAGCTTGAAAACGTTTACAAACCCTATACTACCCAAAACTAGTTAAGTGTACAAAAACATTGTCTATCTGTTGCATGCAGATTTGTTCAAGTGAAATACTTCGACATTTTTCATTTCCATTGCCAATGTGAAAGATTACATATTGTATCTTGTTGCAACTTGGATTCAGTTCACTGGAACGGTGTACTGCCATTTTCTCAGAACTGTCCACAATCCACTGGGTTGGGAAATGAAGCAAAGAGTGAAAAATATTGCTCGTCTTTATTTTTATATTTTATATAAGCCTTAATGTACAGCGTGTAAGCTGCTTTACTGTAAATTGTATCTTTATATATACATGAATATATATCCTAACTTGATTTTTAAATCTGTCCTCCATTTGTCTTTTACTGTTTGTCCATCAACGAAAGCAGAGAAATGCTTTTTTGAACGCGACTAATGGCCATTGTTTTATTTAATTTTTAATAATGTATTATGTTAAAAAGCCATTGTGCTTGTAACTTTGTACACATATTTATATTTAAATAAAACCATTTCAGATAAACCTGCCCAGCTGGGACAAAGTTTATGCTTGAGGACGTACAGCTGAACGCTTACAAATGCTTTTTGACAAGGCCACACGTGTACCTGAACTGAAAAACACTCATTGGAATCCTGTTGCATAAATTTCTAAGGTAGAAATGCTTATTATAATGAAGACAAATAAGATTTGAGCACTCCTGCCTGTAAATAACACTCAGAAATAGTCACCAGCTGGCTCCCAAGTGACAAGGAAATCAGTCTCACAAAGCAAGGCATAATGTGACACTATAATCGTGTCATGTCCATTTCCATGCTTCTTAATTATGAGCAACACTTGACAAATGCTGACAATGGCTGGGAGAAAAGTCAGCATAAAGCACTAAGACCGACAACAGAAACAATTGCTAAACGTTTCACATGCTTTGAGGATACAGCAAGCCCACAATTATTCTAGCACAAGGTATAACAAAAAAAAAAAACAAGGACTTCAAAATCAAACAATATTTATTGAATACGATGAGGAGATCGTTGTAATAAAAAGTGCACATAAACAAAATGTCAAACAAGGGCACCATGTACCTAGTCAGACACAGGTACTAGTGCATAAATCTCTATACAGCAAAACCAGTATTACTGGTACATCAAACAAGTGCACGACATTTGTTATACATCTCTTTATTTATATATATATATTTTTTAAATGGTAAATTTCTATGGGTTACTGCAATTGATTTCTTAGTAAGGAATTCGTTACCTTGAAATACATATAGTCCTTTTTATGATTCCATCTGGATCATTCCCCTGGTTATAACATATATTAATAGCAGGCACTTTAACAAAATAGAACATGATAAAAGGGACCAAATACAAAATTACTACATAATAATGGATAATTCAACACTGTGTATGACCATGACAGAATTTAATTTACCTCTATTTCGTGACATACTCCTAAGAGTAGCAAAGTAAATAATTTGTTGTACAGGTAGTCTCCCACTTAATGTCCAACTTACAGACAACTCATACTTACGAACGGACTGTCGTAAAGCCTATTACATTTAATATTTAGTTAAATACAATGGCTTGTAATAATGAATGTACTTATTACTTTGTGACGCTTATGAAAACATTGCGTGGCTTCAGTGGTGTGTCGGCTTGTGGTACAGTACAGTACCATATGTATTTACTTTTATTATTACTTTATTATGTGCTGTATAATTAGTATTCTGAAATTCGATTTAAAGACAGACTTAGGGAACAGATCTCATTCATATCCTATGAACTGCCTGTAATTGAACTGGAAAATAACTTTTAGTTCTGGACAGCTACACAAAACCTAACAAGCAGCAAATAAAGAACAACTTAAAAAAACAGGGATGTTTGTATGGAATACTGTTCACCGGCTTCAACATGAGAAAACATCACATCATCTTAATTTCTGTGCAAATATTAATAGCAGAAAAGATCCCTGACCTGCTGAATACACCACCACCAAGTCCCGAAATAGCCAGAAATTCATGTGGCAATTATGTAATGTGTCCCTTTCATAAATAATTGAATAGTCTAACCATGACTTGGCATTTTACAGAGACATCAATGTACCAATGTATTCAACTTTCAAAAGTCTACACTAACTAGGCTATGCATAAACTCTTTTTTTTTTTAAGAAGTGTTGGTCTTCAGAAATATTCCAAGAACTTCAAAGTTCAAAATTCTCACCAATATGACTAACATCATGTGTTATATGGTCATTGTTAAAACTGCATTAAAATCTACATATTATACATAAGTACCTTTTACATCCCACCTCAGACCAGTGTTAACCACCACACATAAAACATCACAACTATATTAAAATTTCACCAAAAAAAAATTCTCCTAATTCTCTTAATGTATATGATCAGCCTGGCCTTTCATACCTCAGAAAACTATGCAAATTATCCCATCTAATGGCCAAAGGTCATCTGATAGCAAACTTGCTGAATATGGTTAATATTTGAGAGCTACCTCGTGGATAAAATCTCTTAGGCCACCACATAATAAATATGATTTTGTAAAACTATGACTGTATGTCCATCAAAGTGTCATGTTAGCCATTTTAAAACTTCTCATCAAACAACTACAGGATTTGCAGTTAACATCCAACATGCCCATCTATGTGTTGAACTTGACCACCAGCACACATTATTTGGCTCATCAATACCTCCTAAACTTCAATAGCTAATTAAGTTATTTTAATTAAAGTGAGCTGGTGGTGAAATGTGACAAATTCATGAATGCGAGGGGTGTCCCCAAGACATTACTTTTTATTGTATTAATGTTTATTCGTATATATTTTATTGTTAATTAATATCAATTTAAAACAGTATTGATTGAAGAGAATGTTCACAAATTTTCTGAAACTTTTCATCCCAACACCTTCAATCTGTTTATAACAGTTGCTCGAGTGACCTGCATGTCGGTATTACATGTGAATTTTCTGAAACTGCCCCCATTTTCCTGCTGGATATGCCTGATCTACACCCCACTTTCCTCCCGGATCCAGTCCCGCAGCTTGGTAACGCGTGTGTAGACCCCGGGCTTGTTTCTGCGGGCGCAGCCCTCGCCCCAGCTCACGATGCCAGCCTGGAACCACTTGCCACTCTCCTCTCTGCATACCAAAGGGCCCCCTGAGTCTCCCTGCAGGGGAGGGCCAGGAGAGAAAATGCTGTGAATTTGACACAAGAGGAAGGACAAGGAAAGGAGCCAGACTAGGGTGTACAATAAAACTTTGGTCCAGCATTTTCTGGAAGTTATTTTGCTGGAAAAGTGTTTGTAGCCATAGCAAGTAAACAGTAGATATTTTAGACGTACAATAAACATTAAAAGGTATGTTTGTGTTCCTCACCTGACAGGCATCAACACCTCCCGCTAGAAACCCACTGCAGAGCATCCTGGAAGTCACCTGGCCCTCTGTTACCGTGTCACAGATTGTGTCGTTGATGACCTTCACCTCTGCTTTCTGCAAGATTGGTGCAGTGTTACCTAGTGGTCATTAAAAGGAACAAGAAACAAAACATTAAGAGATATGTTGGAGAATTACAAAAGAATCTTCCCTTCCACCCATACATTTCTTAATTGCTGATGCTGGCCAGGGTCACAGATGGGCTGGGAGCCTATTACAGGTAGCACAGAGCACAAGGCTGAGGTGCACCCTGGATGTGATGACCATCCATGGCCAAATGCGTGCACGCACGCACGCACGCACGCACACGCACACGCACACACACACGCACACGCACACACACACACACACACGCACACACACACACACACACGCACACACACAAGGCAATAGAGAGAGACCAATTAGTCTAACTGCATGTCTGTGAGATGGTCTGTAGAATGCACAGAGAGAAGACACAAACTGATTCAAACCTCCAGGTGTGAGGCAACAGTCCTGCCCTGTCAGTTTTTTTAAACTTAATTCCAAATTAATGCATTAATGGAGTGAACAAATGACATATAGATATTATCTCGATAGTAATTGTTGGCACTCAAATCATGCATGGAGTCTGCAGGTATGGAAACAATGCTCTATAGAGAAGTACTGTAGGGAAGAAGATGTTTCTGATATGGGGGGCGCTCACCTCCTTCTCGCAGCATCCCCCAGCCCGTCACCCAGCAGGAAAGCCCTGCTGGGAAGACGTGAGTGCTGTCAGGCAGGCAGATGGGGTAGATTGTGTTGGTGAAGAGCAGTGGCTCGTTCAGCTCCAGCAGGGCAATGTCATAATCGTTCGTCATGTCATTATATTCCGGGTGGGTGATTATCCTTTTGATGTTGCGCATCTGCACGTTTTCCTCAGAGTACTGGGTGCGCAATCCGCTGTATGCCCGCCAGTTGTCAGGAATGAGATTTCTGAACACAGTGAACATTTGAAAAATAACTCGGTACAATACAATACACAAAATAGGGCTGGTCATTGAATTTTACTTTCAATTACCATTTTGACAACAATTATCTAAGCAAAATAATCAAGATAAAATGATTACTGTACTGCATTTTGTTTCACAATGAAGCTCTCATTTTGTCTTTTATTATAAATCCAGTACATTCCTTTCTAGCCCCTTATTTGTTTCTCAGTTTAATCAAATTTAGAGTTCAAGGAAATCCACAGTTAAAAAGACAAGTTTTTCTTTTTCTTTTCACAAGTTCAATAAATGCATGGGTATTCCCAAAGCCACTGTGTTAAATAATTGTGATCTCAATATTGACCAAAAGAATCATGACTATGATTTTGGCCATAACTGAGCAGCCTGAACCCAAAGTGAAAAATTCACTTCTGTCTCATGTTTACATTGCCAAACAATTATAGGAGTTTATAAAATTTGGAGTAGCACTGGATGCACTATGACTCTTGAAGACTTCAACAGCAAACATTTTGAAGACTCAAAGAATCTCTCAAACGGAAGGTTAGTGCTTCCACCTAGTGTCAAAATTGTAGAAGTACAAGTATCAATTGTGAAATGGTCATAGGAATTCTGAGGACAGAATCAAGTATCAAAAGAAAACATTTACAAGGGAGTTTTAAGACAATTCTTACATGATGATGATTTGTAGTAGTGGTAGCAGTAATAGTAAAAGTAATAGTAGTAATATTAATGATAATGTAAATAAAATTAATAGTAGTAGTACCAATAGCAGTCGTATACATCCACCTGAATTTGTAACTGCTTAGTCTGGTCAGGATGACAGACGGGGGCCTGGAGCCTATCCCAGTCTAGGTTAGAAGAGGGCAGCACAAGGCACAATTCGAGGACACACTCTGCACAGGATGTCAGCTTAGTGGTAATGATGTTTTGTTGTGCACCCTGAATCTGATACTAAAAATAACAAACTAGAACACAAAGGCTAAGGATGGGTTTTTTGGTGACTCATACAATTAGGCTACTTTCCAATAATGTACTATTGCGTGTATGCATGTGTGTACTTCGCGACTGATTGACAACCCATCCAGGCTATACCCCAGAATTGTGCCCTGTGCTACCCTCTTGTGATCTAGACTGGGATAAACAGGTGAAAGACGGGTGGATAGATGCATAAATGTTAAGGGGGTGGTTCAGTGGCTCAATGGGTAGGTATTTAAACTTTAGGGTTTAAATCTCTGCTGTATGACACAGACAGCGGCACTAGAGAGGGCTGCGCCATAGCACGTACTCAGGGGAGGTCGTTTGGAAGCAGTGAGCAGCTGATAGTAGCCAAGTCTTGGACAGGATGGAGGCACCGCAGACGTGGCCATTGGTCATGAAGTGTAGGCTGACTTGCCATGGCCACTCCCCAATGTCAGCATTCTGGCCACCCACGATGCGGTTGTGCTTGTAGGGCCTGGTGCCACACACTGAGGAGGGAAGGAATGGAAAAGGCAGGGAAGGATAGCAAAGGGAAGGACCGGGAAAGAAAAGGATGGGAAGGAAATGGCAAGAAAGAAAAGGCAGGAAAAGGCAGGACATGGAAGGGAAGGGAAGTAAAGGGAAGGTAAAGAAAATGATGGGAAGGAAAAGGTAGGCAAAGGGAAGGGAAGGGGAAGGATGGGAAGGAAAAGGTAGGCAAGGGAAGGGAAAAGGAAGAAAGGGATGGGAAGGAAAGGGTAGGGAAGGGTAAGGAAAGAAATGGCAGGCCAGAGAATGGAAGGGAAGGGTTAGGGGAGTGATGCAAGCAACTTAAATTGGGTTTAAAATATAAGTAGCATAAATGAATAAAACCTTCCTCTGGATGACCAAGTGTACAGTTTTACAGATATGCTTTCAAAAATTAAATAGCAGCAGGAGCAAGGTTGTTCATGCTTTGCATGTTCTGCTTGTGATGCGTGGATTTTTTCCATGTACTGTGGGCTAACTGGTGTCCTTAAACTGGAGATAGTGAGGTTTGTGGATGTGGCCTGCAATGGACTGTCATCCTATTCTATCCTGGTGTCCCCCTGCCTTGTGTCTGGTTCTGCCTGGAAATAGCACCTGCCACTCCCCAAACTGGATAAGGGGTTGGAAGATGGATGGATGGACAGCAGCACCTGAATCATTGTTAGAAATCATTCCATCATCTCCCTAAATAAATAATGGTTTAGGGGAAGGCAGTGAATACCCAGTGAATGTACTGGGAGATGAGGGGTGGGCTGCCAAGCTCTGATTCAGTACTAAGTACTAGTCAAGTGCTCAAGCAATCAAGTTTAGACAGGCACACAGCAGGGAAAAGAAATGCTGTCATTACTGCAGCCCTCTTCATCAGATCCGTCACTGCAGTCATTGGTCAGGTCGCACTCTGCGTTGATTTTGTGCACACACTCCCCACTCTTGCATTTGAAGGTGTAGTCAGTGCAGACATTAATCCCTGTGCAGAAACCACAATGCATTTAAAATAACAAGAAATAACAGGTACAGCAGATGACACAGATGAAACAAGGCTGCCCTGAGCCACTACGCAAGCACTAACATTTCACGTAACCTTAAGAAAACATGTTGCAAGTGGTTGAAGGAAATGATGACTAAGGCTTGCTCACATAGTGATGAGGATATGATGGCTATGGCTCGCTCACATACTGAGGGGTACGGTGACTATGGCTCGCTCACATAGCAGGGGGGTACGGTGACTATGGCTCACTCACATACTGGGGGGTATGGTGACTATGGCTCATTCACATATTGGGGGGTATGGTGACTATGGCTCGCTCACATAGCAGGGGGGTATGATGACTATGGCTCACTCACATACTGGGGGGCATGGTGACTATGGCTCACTCACATACTGGGGGGTATGGTGACTATGGCTCATTCACATATTGGGGGGTATGGTGACTATGGCTCGCTCACATACTGGGGGGGTATGATGACTATGGCTCACTCACATACTGGGGGGTATGATGACCATGGCTTGCTCACAGAGCGGCGGATATGATTACTATTGCACTCTGACATAGCAAGGGGATGGAGATATGATGACTATGGCTTACTTCGAGATGATTCTGTGATGCAGTTTGACTCATCGCTCCCATCTAAGCAGTCCTTCTTTCCATCACACATCAGGGTTTTCAAAATGCACATCCCGTCAGAACACCTCCATTCGCTCTCCTCACATCCTGAGTTGGACAAAAGATTTACCAAGAAAACAACCAGGGAGCAACAGAACTGCTGAAAAAAATATACAGCCAATTAGATGCTGTCATAACGATAATAATGCATTCCCCGGACAGCCCAGTCATCCCTGCCCCATCTAATTCCTTCTCCTTCCACACCCCCCAAACTCCGCAATCTATAGCCCCTCTACACACTCTCCCCTCCTCTCAAAAAACTTTATTAAAAAACCTGATTTGTAGGACTTGTCCCAAGGTAATCAAGGTCACCAGATCTGTGTCTGTAGCTGTACAGTACTTCCATGAGTCACCACTAAGCAGCATTACTGCAGCTTTGGTACAATTTGTCTCAAAATGAAACTGGTGCCAGATTATCACCTATACAATGTTCCTAGATCCACAAATATGCAAAACCCTTATCACGTGCAAATCACTTCTTATTTTTTTGGATATGATATTTATGGTCTTATCACAAATAAAAATACATATTTGTGGATAGTCATGTATTTGTGTTTTTATTCTACAGATCAACTGTGGTATACGGAGCCCCTAAGAGGTCAGGGTGGGAAAATATTTTTTTTAATAATTTTGTGTTTCCTCTCAATAGTTTTGTGTTCCCTCGCAATACTTTTCCATTACTAATAAACGAAGAAATAAAGTGTAATATGACACAATAGATGTTTTTGTTTTCCCATCTGATATATATTATCATATCACACAGCCCTACTTCCACCTTGGTGCTCCAGCCAATATTGCACTGCTACAGTCTGTGTATAATAATTGCATAGATCTGTATTTCCTATCTGAGGAATACAATAATTACATTTTTCATGTATTACTTTGGACAGTAATGGAGGGATGATGGCTCCCTCCAAGTTACTAAGTTACAGACTGAGATATAAACTGGAATAGGCTACATTTAAGCCTTCTGAGGAAGACAAGGATGGTCTTCAATCATGCAGTAATCATGTAAATCAACATCTCTTACCAAAATGCTACAACGCAGAGCTCTACAACACTCTCTTCATAGCCTTATAATGCTGAAACTCCCAGCCAGAGAAGATAACTTACCACAATCCTTCTCATCACTGCCGTCACCACAGTCATTGACACTGTCACACACCCAGTAAAGGGGTTTGCATCTGCCATTGGCACAGGAAAACTGCTCATGGTCACATTCTGGAAAACAGAGCTCACTCAGTACTTCATTTATCTATGAGTCAGATGCTTCCCAAAGTGACGTTACATTTATTCATTTAACAGACTCTTTTATCCAAAGCAATGCACAACTGAGAAAGCAGGATCAACCAGTCCCTGGAACAATCAAGGTTAATGCCCCGACAGTGAAATAACTGTCAACCCGGGGATTTGAACTGGCACCCTTCCGATTACAGGCACAGCATCATAACCTGTTGAGTCACACACACTACCCTCTGCCATCTAAGTAATAAACTGACAAGTGTGGACGTATTCACAGCAGTATGAAAGCAGACATACAAGTGAAGGTCAGAGAGCAATGTCATACAATGTGCCTCGAGCTACTGGGATGAAGGACCATGCTGAAGGGCCGAATATTCAACCAATTACAGGATTTGAACCTGCAACCTTCTGGCCACAAGCACAGAGCCCAAACCAGCATACCACACTCCATTCCTCTTTTAACTTGTGGCAATAATGGGTTTTCTTGGTGCAGTGTGAAGGGGGGGGAACAAACTCACTGCATTGTTCTTCATCACTTCGATCTCCACAATCATTCCAGCCATCACAGTGTAGTTGTTTCGCGATGCAGAATCCACTGGCACATGCAAACTGATTAGGGCAGGCTGCAGAAAAAAGTAAATAACTGACTTCACTCAGAATCTTAAACAACAGAAAATCTACTGATATTAGGCTCACATGGTCTGTATTAGAAAAATTTGAAATCTCATTCTGGGACTGATAGTTTCTTATCTTACTAAAATATTGCTATCCAGGCCTTAACTGGTAGTGCATTTGCTTTGACAATACTTTGCTTTTTGTAGCTGTCCAGGTCATCGAGGATGCCTGTACATGCACTCTGACATTTCAACATCACATCCATATCAAAAACATTTTTGGAACAATAAAGATGTGACTATTAAGGGTGGTTCACAACTAAATGTTTTTTTTTTTATTACCAGACATTTTCCTACATTTCCAAAGTAAATTGTTTTACAGCCCCCTGCAAAAAGAATCACCCTCTGACATCAGATGGAGATATTTCAGGCTTGTAAAACTGAAGCATTGACCAACAGTCAGTTATTCATTCTTAATAATTGACTGCTGCAGGTTTACACACAGGTAATAATGTCCCATGACTTTGAAGAATTCGGTCCAAGTCAAGACCGAAAGGGGGTCAAGACTGAAAAAGGTCTTTTCAAGACCATAGTTTTAAATCATACAGAGTTCGAAGTTACGGAACAAATCTCATCCCATATGTTCCTATACAGAATAAACTGCGTCCGTTCAAAAAGGTACACAGCATTTTATTAGTCAATATGAGACAATCCCATGGTAACTATATTCAGAACAGGACAGTCTTTACCACTTTCAATGTAATGTTTCAGACCAGTCAGGATGAAAAACAAAGAAAGATGAATCATTTGAGACACAACCCTGTTTCCAAAAAAGTTGGGGTGATGTGTAAAATGCAAATAAAAACAGAATGCAATGATTTATAAATCACATTAATCCATATTTAATAGAAAATAGAATAAAAAGACAACATATCAAAAGCTGAAACTGAGAAATTTTATGGTTTTATGCTCAATTTGAATTTGATGCTAGCAACACATTTTAAAAAAGTTGGGATATGGCTGTTTACCAATGTGTTGCATCACTTCTTCTTTTAACAACACTCTGTAAATATTTGGGAACTGAGGCGATCAGTTGCTGAATTTTTGAAAGTGAAATGTTGTCCCATTCTTGCCTTATATAGGATGTCAATTGCTCCACAGTTCAGGGTCTCCTTTGTCATATTTTTTGTTTCATGATGTGCATGATGTTTTAAATAGGTGACAGGTATGGACTGCAGGCAGGCCAGTCTAGCACCCAGACTCTTACACTATGAAGCTGGTGTAAAACTTGGACAGTGTGTATTGTGACATCTTGCCATCTTGCTCATTTGACTATTTCTGCCGGCCCCTGGAGGGTGGTTCCACCTTTGAATCTGGTTCCTCCCACAGTGTTTTCCTTTTAGGGAGGTTTTCCTTGCCATTGTAGCCTTTGGCTTCCTCACTGGGAGCTTTGGGCAGGGATAATGTAAAGTGCTTTGAAACAATGTAATGTTGTGAAAATGCACTAAAGAAATTAAATTGAAATTAATTAATAAGATATTAATCCCAAAGAAGTTGGGAAGTTGTGCAAATTGTAAATAAAAACAGAATGCAATGATATGGAAATCTCATAAACCCATATTTTATTCACAACAAAACATATAAAACATATCAAATGTTTAAACTGAGAAAATGTATCATTTTAAGGAAAAAATTAGGTAATTTTGAATGGCATGGCAGCAACACGTCTCAAAAAAGTTGGGACAAGGCCATGTTTACCACTGTGTGGCATCCCCTCTTCTTTAAACAACAGCTCTGTAAACGTCTGGGGACTGAGGACATCAGTTGCTTGAGTTTGGGGCGAGGAACATTGTCCCATTCTTCTCTGATACAGGATTCTAGTTGCTCAACTGTCCTAGGTCTTCTGTGTCGTAATTTTCATTTTATGATGTGCCAAATGTTCTCAATGGGTGAACAATCTGGGCCGCTGGCAGACCAGTTCAGTACCCGGACCCTTCTACAAATCCATTATGTTGTAAATGATGCTGTGTGTGGTTTGGCATTGTCATGTTGGAAAATGCAAGGTCTTCACTGAAAGAGATGTCATCATGATGGAAGCATATGTTGCTCTAGAAGCTAGATATACCTTTCAGCATTGATGGTGTCTTCCCAGATAAGCAAACTGCCCATGCCATATGTATTAATGCATCCCCAAACCATCAGAGATGCTGGCTTTTTAACTGAGCGCAGATAACACGCTGGGTGGTCCTTCTCTTTAGTCCGGATGATACGGCATCCCTGATTTCCAAAAAGAATTTCAAATTTAGATTTGTCTGACCACAGCACAGTTTTCCACTTAGCTACAATCCATTTTAAATGAGCTTGGGCCCAGAGAAGACGTTGGTGATTCTGGATCATGTTTAAATACGGCTTCTTCTTTGAATGATACAGTTTTAACTGGCATCTTCGGATGGCATGGCGAATTGTGCCCACTGATAAACTTTTCTGGAAATATTCCTGAGCCCATTTAGTGGTTTCCATTGCAGAATCATGCCTATTTGTGTGGCAGTGCCACCTAAGGGCCTGAAGATCATAGGCATCCAGTATGGTTTTTTGGCTTTGTCCCTTACACACAGATATTTCTCCAAATTCTTTGAATCTTTTGATTATATTACGTACTGTATATGATGGCGTTTTCAACCTCTTTGCAAATTTATACTGAGGAACTGAAATTGCTCCACTATTTGTCGATGCAGTATTAGGGGGATTGGTGATCCTCTACCCATCTTTACTTCTGAAAGGCACTGCAACTCTAAGATGCTCTTTTTATACCCAATCATGTTACTGACCTGTTGCCAATTGACCTATTTATTTGCAAAATGTTCCTCCAGCTGTTAGGTTTTTATACCACTAACTTTTCCAGCCTCTTATTGCCCCCATCCCAACTTTTTTGAGATGTGTTTCTGCCATGAAATTCATGAATTTCATTTTTCATGAAATAGCAAAATGTCTCACTTTAAACATTTAATATGTTTTATATGTTCTGTTGTGAATAAAATATGAATTTATGATATTTCTATATCATTACATTCTGTTGTTATTTACAATTTGCACAATGTCCCAACTTTTTTGGAATTGGGGTAGTACACAGAACGCAGTTTGGCACTGTCTTGCTGAAATATACAAGGCCTTTTCTGAAAAAGACATTATGTGGATGGCAGCATCTGTTGCTCCAAAACCTGTACACATTGTTCAGCATTAATGGTGCCTTCCCAGATCTGCAAGCTACCCAAGCCATGGGCACTAATGCACCCCCATACCACCACGGATGCTGGCTTTTCAACTGTCTGCTGATAAAAAGTTAAATGGTCTCTCTCTTTAGGCTGGAGGATGTGGCGTCTGATTTACAAAAATAATTTGAAATTTTGATTCTTCAGACCACAGGACAGTTTTCCATTTTGCCTCAGTCCATCTTAAATGAGCTTGGACCCAGAGAATTTGGTGGCATTTTTGGATCATGTTTAGATATGGTTTCTTCTTCATCCTGTATTTGTGGATGTAGCAACAAACTGTGTTCACAGACAAGGGTTTTCAGAAGTTTTCCTGAGCCCATGAAGTGATTTCCACTATAGAATCTACAGCTATCCAGTATTGGTTTTTGGCCTTGTCCCTTGCATACAGAGATTTTTCTGGATTCTCTGATTTTAAGGATAGTACGTAGTATAGATGATGAAATTCCCAAATTCTTTGCAATATTACATTGAGGGACATTATTCTTGAACTGTTGTGCTATTTGCCCATGCAGTCTTTCACAGAACAGTGAACCTCCCCCCATCTTCACTGCACTGAGACGGTCTACCGGGAAGGCTCCTTTAATACCCAATCGTCTTTCTGACCCGTTGCCAATTAACCTAATTAGTTGTGAGATATTCAACCAGGTGTTTTGTTTTAGCATTACACAACTTTTCCAGTCTTTTTTTAGTTTTGCTGGCATCAAATTCAAATTGAGCACATATTTGTTGTAAAACTAAATAAAATTATATTGTAGCACTGCCAGGGTTTGCATGTTCCTGCATCTCCCACAGGTAATTGTAAATAGCCCCGTGTTTGTCCTGATGTTCTAGTTATGGTTACAGTTGCCTGTTACAGTCCTGTTCAGGATTAGAATACAGAGCATGTTCTGTTGGTCTTCGACATCATCTGGCAAGCCTGCTTCAGCCTGGCGGAACTCAAGGCTGCAAGAAAGCAGCAGTGTTGGAGAAGCAGTAGTACTTCTCAGGCAAGGACAATTCAGCTTGTCTGCTGGTGCTGCCGGAAAGAATGGCACCATGTACACCACTGCCCGGAAGCCTGTACCAGAGCTACCAGCAAATGAGCAGGGGACGCTGGAGCGAAGAAGGCACCATCTGCTCTATCAAAGACGCACCAGACCCACACAGCACACCCTGAAGTCGCTCCTACAAGCCCACCGGAATTGCATCAGAAACAACAATGTTGTTGAGCGAGGAAGGCGGGCACTTCTGTGAACTCCGGCCCCTCACTGGCCATGGAGTGCTTCCCGCTCATCAATTGTGCGACCCCAACTGCAAGCACGAGCAGGCAGTCTGCTCCGCGTGAGTGCAAGGAAGTGTACCGCAGCTGGGATGTCTGGCTTGCTGAAGAGCGGCGTGAGCTGGAGGAGTGGGACCATCAGGACCGGGAGTGGCTACGGGCGTCCACAGAGTAGGTGCGGCAGGAACTGGGCTGGCTGTGCAGTGAGCTGGCCAGCTGGAAGCCAGGCACGTTTGGCCGAGGCAGCATTATGGGGCCATGAGACGGCACTGTTCAGTCGGGAGGAGGCCTGTCACGGCTTGGAAGCTCAACTGGCCCAGAAGTGCCACAAGCTGCAGGATGACGAGAAGCGACTATGGGGCCGTGAGTTGTGCCGTGCACTTGAGGCACTGCTGGCCAAGGAGTGCCACGAGCTGCAGGACCACCTGGATACCTGCCATGGCTGGCAGGTCTTTCTGGCTGAAGAGTACCAGAAACTC